TATGACTCCCATAAGGCACCGTGGAATATCTGAATCAAAATATTTCAGTTTTCAGGTGTCCATTTTGACAAAAAATTGAAAATTTCCACAGAAAACAGACTTTTCACAGTAAAAGCAGCAAAGAGTCCTGTGGCACCTTATAGACTAACAGACATACTGGAGCATGAGCTTTCGTGTGTGAATACCCACTTCGTCGGATGCATGTAGTGGAAATTTCCAGAGGCAGGTATAAATATGCAAGCAAGAGTGAGTCAAGCTAGAGATAACGAGGTTAGTTCAATCAGGGAGGATGAGGCCCTCTTCTAGCAGTTGAGATGTGAACACCAAGGGAGGAGAAACTGCTTTTGTAGTTGGCTAGCCATTCACAGTCTTTGTTTAATCCTGAGCTGATGGTGTCAAATTTGCAGATGAACTGAAGCTCAGCAGTTTCTCTTTGAAGTCTGGTCCTGAAGTTTTTTTGCTGCAGGATGGCTACCTTTAAATCTGCTATTGTGTGTCCAGGGAGATTGAAGTGTTCTCCTACAGGTTTTTGTATATTGCCATTCCTAATATCTGATTTGTGTCCATTTATCCTTTTATGTAGGGACTGTCCAGTTTGGCCGATGTACATAGCAGAGGGGCATTGCTGGCATACGATGGCATATATTACATTGGCGGACGTGCAGGTGAATGGTGATGGTGTGGCTGATCTGGTTAGGTCCTGTGATGGTGTTGCTGGTGTAGATATGTGGGCAGAGTTGGCATCGAGGTTTGTTGTATGGATTGGTTCCTGAGTTAGAGTTACTATGGTGCGGTGTGTAGTTACTGGTGAGAATATGCTTCAGGTTGGCGGGTTGTCTGTAAGCGAGGAGTGGCCTGCCACCCAAGGCCTGTGAAAGTGAGGGATCGTTGTCCAGCATGGGTTGTAGATCACCGATGATGCGTTGGAGAGGTTTTAGCTGGGGACTGTATGTGATGGCCAGTGGAGTTCTGTTGGTTTCTTTCTTGGGCTTGTCTTGCAGTAGGAGATTTCTGGGTACACGTCTGGCTCTGTTGATCTGTTTCATTGTTTCCTTGTGCGGGTATCGTAGTTTTGAGAATGCTTGATGAAGATTTTGTAGGTGTTGGTCTCTGTCTGAGGGGTTGGAGCAGATACGGTTGTATCTCAGTGCTTGGCTGTAGACAATGGATCGTGTGGTGTGTCCGGGATGGAAGCTGGAGGCATGAAGGTAGGCATAGTGGTCGGTGGGTTTTCGGCATAGGGTGGTGTTAACGTGACCGTCACTTATTTGCACCGTGGTGTCTAGGAAGTGGACCTCCTGTGTAGATTGGCCCAGGCTGAGGTTGATAGTGGGGTGGAAGCTGTTGAAATCATGGTGGAATTTTTCCAGCATCTCCTTCCCATGGGTCCAGATGATGAAGATGTCATCAGTGTAGAGTTGGTAGAGAAGGGGCGTGAGTGGATGAGAGCTGAGGAAGCGTTGTTCCAGGTCAGCCATAAAAATGTTGGCATATTGTGGGGCCATGCGGGTGCCCATAGCGGTGCCACTGGTCTGGAGGTATATATTGTCATCAAATTTGAAATAGTTGTGTGTGAGGATAAAGTCACAGAGCTCAGCAACCAGTTGTGCTGTGGCATCATCAGGGATACTGTTCCTGACAGCTTGTATTTCCGGGTTTGTGGATCTTGGGTAGTAGATACCCTTAGAGCCCCAACCGGGGTTATTCTATGTTCCTGTACTAGTGTAGGAAGTGTCCTGAGTAGATGGTGCAGTTTCTTAGTGTATTCCTCAGTGGGATCTGAGGGAAGCGGCCTGTAGAATTTGGTATTGGAGAGTTGTCTGGCAGCCTCCTTTTGGTAGTCAGACCTGTTCATGATGACAGCAGCACCTCCTTTATCAGCCTCTTTGATTATAATGTCACTGCAACTCTGGGCCAGATGTTACTTTTTAGTTATCAGCTTTCAGATTTATTTTGTTAAAAATGCATACTAACTGTAGCCACTCCATTGCCTGTCAAGGATACAATTTTTTATTTTTATTTTTTTTAAAGAAACATGTTATAGTCTTGTTCCAGTATGTTAAGTGAAACATGCCTTAGGAGAAAGTGACATTAATTTATTTTCACTTGTAAAATATGCAGTGTTTATAACTACTCTGAATTTTAAATATTAACTTTTTATGTGAAAAGTAGGAATAAATGGTCAGCATAAAAGCAATATTCCTCTGAACTCTAACTGGAGGAATACACAGGAATATCTAATACACCTCTACCCCAATATAACGCTGTCCTCGGGAGCCAAAAAATCTTACCACGTTATAGGTGAAACCGCGTTCTATCAAACTTGCTTTGATCCGCCGGTGTGCGCAGCCTCCCCCCCCGCCCCCGGAGTGCTGCTTTACTGCGTTATATCCGAATTCGTGTTATATCAGGTCGCGTTATATAGGGGTAGAGGTGTACTATCCAAATGAGGATTCCCATATATTCTTAATGTGGACCAGACGATTGGTCCTTCAGTGGGTGAAATGTAAAATTTTCTTGCTGTCTCCAGGCTTTTGTGAAGGAAATATTCTTCTTACTGTGAAAATCATTGCACAGTAACTGCCTGAGGAGAAAAATGTTTCCTCACTCCAAACTCTGGGCACCTTTAAGCAGGGCCGGCTCTGGCTTTTTTGCTGCCCCAAGCAAAAAACGCCCGGCTGGGGCAGCAAAGGGGGGGGGGGAGGGGAGGAGGAAAACAAACCTGCCCCTGGCCGGAGCGGCAAAGGGGGAGGGGGGAGAGAACAAACCGGCCGGCCGGAGCGGCGAAGGGGGCGGGGGGCGGGAAACAAACTGGCCGGCCGGGGCGGCGGGGGGGGGGGGGGGGGGGGGGGGAACAAACTGGCTGGCTGGCCGGAGCAGCGAAGGAAAGAAAAAACCAAAACAAAAAAAAATACCTGCGGGGCGGCGGGAGCGTGGGTGCAGGGGGACTCCCGGCCCTGCAGACCTCGGCTAGCTGCGGTGGGGGGGGGGGGGAGGGGGGGGGCGGCCAGGGCTTCCTTAAGCGGGGTGCTTGCCACGCGGCACCTCCCGTTGCGCTGCCTGCCGGGAGGGCTCCGCGCCGCTCCGGTCGGCAGGCAGGGAAGGACGCTTGCTACAGGGCAGCGGGAGCAGCAAACCAAAAAGAAAAAACCTGCAGAGGCGGCCAAAGCGATGAAGCACAAAACAAAACAAAACAAAACAAAAAAGGATTAGATGGAATGCCGCCACTTGGAATCTGCCGCCCCAAGCACGAGCTTGCTCAGCTGGTGCCTGGAGCCGGCCCTGCCTTTAAGGAAAGAGCTCCTTAAACCTCCTCTCATATTTAAACTAACAGATAAACTGGGGTGTGGGGGGGGGTTAAAGGGTGAGTGGGTTCTGTTTTATGACAAATGCCAACATAAGAAAGACATTACTGAGTTTCAACTTTATTCTAAGGTTACGCAGAAGAAAATTACATACATGCTAAAAGTACCTACAAACAATTATCAGTGTTTGGAAAACAGATTATTAAAATAAATATTAGGCCAGATTTTCCTTGGTCTTTGCTGGGGAAATGAAGGGTAGTCATGCATACAAAGAAGCTGCATCCTGTAAAAGGCCAGGGACAACTAGAGGACCTACTCTTAGGAGTGCAGGGACTGTGCCTTCCATGAATGCCTAGGTACACAGATGACCTCAAAGGGCTTATGGGGAGGAGACAGGTGCAGGGTATCAGGCTGTCCCCTAACTGGGTGACCCTGATCCACAAAAGTACTAAGGCACCTAAACCCCAGAGTTAGGCACCAGTTTTGGCTCCACTGTGAACTCTGTAGGCACTTAAACTCACTCGATGCCTAATTTTTTATGGTCAAAGTTTCCTCTGTGCCTACGTTTCTGCGTCTGCACTCTGTTGCCTTCCTCTAGGCATCTGGATGCCTACCTCTTGCCTAAGCCCCAGAGCAATTTATGAACCGGGAGAAGATAGATATTCATCTGCCTGAGTTGCCTGATCCAGTAGGTGTGCTCAGAGGCCACCTACCAGATCAGGTCTGATTCAGAATCTTGCAGCAGGAGGTGGTGGTGGTGCCCACACTACACAGTAACTATTAGCCCAGTGGTTAGAGCACTCAACAGGTTCCATTCCCCCCTTTGTGTCAGGGGGAAGAGATTTGAACAGTGATCTCCCAATTCTCAGGAGTGCTCTAACCATTGAACTATGGGATATTCTGATGTGGGACTGCCTCAGTCTCTCCTGTTTAAGTTCAACTGTGAATAATGATTGGAGGAGGGAACTGGACCCTGGGTCTCCCACCTTCTGGCCGGGTGCCTAAAACACTGGACTACAAAGTCATTCTCTCTCTCTCTCAGGCCCAATGTCTATTTAAGTGTTTACCCACTTTGGATCAATCAAATAAGCTCCTTTTAAACTCCGATAAGACTATCTACACACAGACTTGCACTGGTTTAACTCAACTGGTTTAAAAAAATACCCTCAGTTAAACCAGTCGAAGTTAGGGTGTAGAAAACTCCCGAGATACATACATACATACATACGTAGGTGAAGTGTTTATAAGTGTATATGCATGAGTGTGTGGACTTTTGTAGGAGAATCTGCAATATAATCCACCCGGTTATATCCATAAGTCATTCTTCTGTTTGAAAAATGTTGGTTCCTGAGAATGACTTTAGGTAAAGAGGCTGTGAGGTATTTTATAACCTAACAGTCATTTCAGTAAAGGTCTGAAGTTATGAAAGGAGTGGTTGAGCATAGTCCTCTCTCCTGCGGAGAATCAGGAAGTTTCAGAATGATAAATGGGTTTCTCAGAAATAGGACTTTGGCGGGATGCCAAAAAAGTTGAAGCGGTAAATTATTAAAAGAAAATAGTGTTTAGAAACTGACTGGATTGGCACCAGCCAAAAAAAAAAAAAAAGTAGAAAGCAATGGAAATAAATCAATAAGCAAGTCTCTCGTATTTCCCTTTCATGGAATACCAAACCCACAACTGATTTGTTTTTCCCAGGTCCGCACCCGTGTCCTGTCTGAACACAAGGAGCCAAGAACAGATGTCGGGGTAAGTAATTTCTGTTAGCTAGGCAGCTGATAAACTTACTTTGCATTAGGAGTTGGGTTAAATTAAGAGAGGATCATGACAGGAGTAATACATTCAGAGATTGATGGATTCTAATGCATTTACTCCTTGACTCTAAACTTCAGGATTTTTCCTTAAGGAGGATTTTTATGCTGAGGCCAGTCCAGTTTTCTAGGGTCTCTGCTAGTGCCTTTCAAGCAGTCTGGGTTAGATACAGAGCTTGGGATCATACTCCCTTGACCAGCATGGTCAGGAATAAGTCGGAAGGTCAATCAGCACTGCCATAGCAGCTGTATTTGGAGTCTGAATAAGAAGTGACATTGATAATATTTAAAAAGCCCATTGTGGTACTGGCCTAATTTCGGGGGAAGAACAGAGTGTTCCTCCTGGGTTAGGGCTATCTATGTGCATATCAGATAAAATTGAAATTCCACAGACTTGAGGAGAAATAGCATCCTGTAATGGCGTCAGCACCCGCCTCTCGAGCGTGTCCCCTTTTCTCTGGCCAATAGTGCCTGCAAACAGTCTTTTCGTGGGGGTGAGGGGCGCCCACCTCTCATGGATGGCCCCCTTTCTCTCGGTTAGGTGTGAGCCTGCTTTTCTTTTTTGGTCTTACATCAGGGTGGCACCTGCCTCTTGCGAGCACACCACAGCTGCTGGTTCTCTTGGTTGTTCTTTGGCAGCTCAGTATTCTGGCCAAGCCACACATGCTGTCCCCCCCTTCCGGGGTATAGAGTCCCGAGTTCTTATCATGGCCCTAGTATGGGGCCGTAGTTCTTAGGCCTCTTTCCAGAGGCACTGCCTTCTTCAGACACCTAGCTGGGGCCCATCTTGGTACCTTCAACTGGTGTCCTTTTCAGCAGCCCTCCCTGGGCTCAGTCTGCTACCAGATGAGCAGGGCCCATCTCGTTACTCTCGTCTGGTCTGGCCAGGTTTTATGCTCAGTCCCCCGGGCTCAGCCTGCCCACACTGATCTTTCGGCGGCTCTCTGCTATTCTGTCCAGCCAGGCACCTGGTCTTTGGCAGCCTCCCCTGGGCTCAGTTCTGTCTGGTGAGCTCTCTGCAGTCCTGTTAGCCAGCCAGCCAGGCACCCGGTCCTCCCTTGTCAAGCTCCACACAGCAACCGAACTTCTTTGCTCTGCTGCTTGTCTTATATAGGGCCCTTCTGGCCCCGGATTGGCTGCTTCATCAGCCTCTCTGATTGGCTGCTCCTCTGCAGCGACTCTAGGCTGTCTGGTGGATTTCTCTCTGCTCTATTCTGGGGCAGGGTGATCCAGGACCATGAGGCCTCCAGCAGGGGGCCTCTGGGCCTAGTCCACCCTGCCACACATCTCTGTTAAGATTTAATAATAACCCAGTGATTTCCCAGATTGCATTCTAAAGTATCCAGAATCATTCTTACATGTTGGCAGTATGCACGGGCACATAGACACTCTTCTCTGTGGTTGGGAAAAGGGAAATATAGAATTTGGAGTGGGGAATTGGCACTAAACCAAAATCCTTAAATCTAAAAACCTTGCAAACAATTTAGATTGGGACATGTACAGTACCAAATTCATCTGTGATGGTGATGTGTATATAAAATAATAAATCCATGCTAGCAAATTATGCTGGTTCTAGTTTGTTTCCTGCTCTATCCAGCATTGGAATTCAGAAGTTGGAGGGGAGGCTCCCCCTTTCTCTTTTTCTGACCTTCCATCATGTGACCTTACCCACTTCTCATATAAATTAATCATGTTTATTACAGTAGTGCCTAATAGGCAACCAAAAATGGGGCCCCATTGTGCTAGGCTCTGTACAAACCCAGAGTAGTAGATGGTTCCTGCCCCAAAGAGCTTACAATATAAATAGACAAGACAGACACAGTAGGTTGGTGGGGGGGAATGGAATGGTTATAATACATAAGCAGAGTGAACAATGTGATGGTACCAAATGTCATTTTAGTTGCATGATACTTTCGAGGGGTGAGTTTACTTAGCATGTGGATAAGCTAAATAGAAAGAAAAGTTAAGGAAAAGGGAGTGAGGAGGACAAGACAGCGAAAAGGAGAGCAAGAGTGGCCAGTGTGAGTGAAGTTGAGGTGAAGAGACTGTGAGGGAGGGAGAGGGTTGGAGCAAACAGCCAATCAGCGCAAGACAGAGAATCTCTAGTCAAAACTGTTGAACATTCTCCAAAGATCTCAGCTTTGGCAGCTTCACTACTTCCTGCTGGAGTCTCCGGCTGGGTCCTCTCTGCGCCTACGGCCAGGTAGCTGGGGGGAAGAGAGTCAATGTTTGAGTCCCAGTGCTCCCATAGTGGCAGCCATCTCCTCTGCACAATACTGGGTCCAGTGGCCTGCTGGAGGGAAAGGTAGCTCTGGCTAGACCCTATTTTACCCCCTTCCCCCACGTGCAGCAGTGCCTGCTTTGGCTGCTTTCTGCTCTTACTGCCTGGAGTCAAAACTTGTATAAAACATGCCTGTTTCTGACTGATGGCAAAACAAGAGCTAGGGCAGACAGCAGACTATGGACCGGAAAGATTTTAAGTTGTTTTTTATCCTGAGGTGCTGATTCTCCTCCTTGAACTACCAAGGATCATCCCTGGCATAGTTCCAACAGGATGCATTTGAAAAATGTGCAATATGGCAGCAGAGTTAAATCTCAGTGAGCAATCTGTATTTCAGCCTTTCACAGGGCCATTGCAAACATATTTTTCTTTCTTCCTTTTTTCTTTGGCTAGGTAAGTGATTAAGTTTATTAATCAAACAATTCAACACAAATCTCTTATAATTTATTATCACAAGTGTCTCACCAGCACTAGCAAAATTATGGAGGAGCACTAGCTATTCTATAATTAAGGTTGTTTAAACTCAATTTTCAAACCTCTCTAAACCACACATGCAAAATTGGATTGGTTTGTAAATTGCCATGGCAATTCAGGGCCCAGGGTAAAGTTGGCACAGCTACGCAAGCACAGAAAAAGGAATCCAAGGCCTGGTCAACATAGCTGCATTGGTCAGGGGTGTGAAAAATCCACATTCCTGAGTGACGTAGCTGTGCTGACCTAACTCCCGGTCGGTGCCATAGCTAGCCACAGGGCACTCTTTCAAATTCTAGGCCCATTGCAAGGCCGGATAACCCATTTCCATCAAATCACTGGGCCATACAACATTTTTTATTATTATTTTGAAGGTATTTTTAAATGAATTTAAGAATATGAAATAGAAAAAATGTTTTGGAATCTGGAAAATTATATTGTATTAAGCAGTGTCCTATGAGATCTGAGAACCATGGTGTATTAGGAAGAGCCTGAAGCATGGGCCTGGTGCAAAGCCTGAGGCCTGAACAAAAGTCAGTGAGTTATGCCATTAGCAACAGTCATGTCCGGTCAAAAGCAGCTGTTTGCCTGCAAGTCAGTGACTGGTACATGAACTCGGCACCAGTATTGATAGCATTGCTGCAACACACTGAATATGTAAACACTTTCCAGCAGGCCAGCACAAGAACACCCCATCCTAGCACACAATAAAATGGTTTGACAAAAGTGATGAATAGTGATATTTTGTCTGAAACATCAGGAGTAAAAGTACAAAGACAGGTGGTGAATAGGAATGTTTTGTCTGAAACATCAGAAGGAAAGTACAAGGGGAGGTAACAAACGTCATGAAACACGTAAGGTGATACACAAGTTGTTTATCCCAGATTGTTTGTCTCAGTCTATAAATGTTAGGATACCTCGCTTTAACCCTTTGGCCAGCCTAGAGAGTAATGAAAAGTCCCGCCATTCACTGAGCTGCGTCCATTGTCACGGGCATACATGTCTTAGTATCCTCATAGAGTCTGCCAGGGCTATTACCATGCTTCGTCGACAATCCTGGCCAGGCACCTTTGTACCTTAACAGATCTTGTGGTCATTGGGTAGTTCAATTGAGGTCTCCTGTGCCAACTATCTGCGCAGAGCTGGGACACCACACAAAGAACACACAGCCAAACATCTGATGACACAAGGCTAATTCCAGAGGCTATGAGACCTTGCAGTGGTGTAGGGCCTTGTGAGGGGCCACCACAAATGGGCAAAATGTTTTTCTCCCCCCTTCAGTTCATATAAGGAATTGTAGTATTAATGTGTATTGCAGTAGCACCTAGAGGCCCCAACTGAGACCAAAGCCCTGTTATAATTGGCACTCTATAAGAACACAAAGTTTACCATCCAAATTGCATATAAAAATGCAAAGGAATGTTAAGATTGCAAAGTCAAGCACTCAAAAGTTAGGAAATGCCAGAATGAAGGTTGTATGAGCAACCTTAATTGTTCTCTCTTATGTGTACATACACCTCTACCTCGATATAATGCTGTCCTTGGGAGCCAAAAAATCTTACCGTGTTATAGGTGAAACCACATTATATTGAACTTGCTTTGATCCACCGGAGTGCGCAGCCCCGCCCCCTCCGGAGCACTGCTTTACCGCGTTATATCCGAATTAGTGTTATATCGGGTTGCGTTATATCGGGGTAGCGGTGTATTATGATACAAACTATGTCTTCTGTGCCAAAAGGTGTATTTTTTCAGTGAGATAGTGAACGTGTTACCTATTTTGCTGTAAAATCTTAGCAGAAACAAGGCATTGTGGGAGGTATAGTGTTAACCTCAACTAGTTTCACTGAGGTAAAAACTACCTCTCCCTTGTCTCTGCTAGGATTTTACAGTGAGATAGGTGAGTCAAGTTAGCTATCTCACTTAAAAACGCACCTTTTTGGCAGTGAAGACACAGCACAGTCTTTAATTACATAATCATACTATTTTACCCACTCTGTTTCTATCTCATGGCTCCAGTCTGCCTCTTCTTTACTTCCTCCTTTTTGTCCACCCCTACCCTCAGCCTGCCTCCTTGGCACCTTTTCTCTTGGCTTGTATGTTCTACACTACCTCCCTTCTTCCTTCCCTTCCTGCCTAGCTGTGCAGCCAGGGATGGAAATTGAATCATTACATGGACATCAACATGAGCCTGTAGGAGGCTTTGAGCTTGGCCATACTGAGGACCCAGCTTTTAAACTTGGAAGCCAATTGTAGAGCTCTACATCTGGGCATTTAAATTGGCACTTAGGTTCCCAGCTATGCATTTTATGTGCCTAAAAGCCTGTCTGAGCACTAAACTTTGGAGCCCACATTTGAATATTCCAAGGCCCTGATTCAGACTGGCCTTACTAAAGGAAGACAGGATACAACTCTTACTAGGTGGTGTCATACTACTGCTGAGCAGCTCCACTGAAACACATGTTGTTCTCCATTTTCCAAGGGTTGAATGTGCTACCTCTATACGGCCCGGGCTGACCCTGAGAGCATGTGACCAAGCTCAAGACCTATACCTGCATTTTGTCATCTGCAAGCACATTGCATTTGCTGTTAGACCTTTTATTTTTGTTAGCCTTACAAAAGGAATAAAGAATAAAATTATTATGCAAAAAAAACCTGCTTATTTGTTGAAGTATTTGCATAGTTGATGTGACTTAATGAAAATATATGTAACTAATTCACATCAACTTCCAGTGAGTTGCTGTGTATTTTTCAAAAAACCTTCATGGAAGAAAGTTTTAGGTTATTTTCTTTCCATGCTCATTGTCCCTAGGGTAAGAAGAACTCTGTTGTACAACTGGTAAAGTGAAGTTTTAGTGCTGAGCAGCAGAGGTATTGAGAGAGGGTAAAAAGTTCTCTTGAAAAAATGTTTGCATAATTTCCTTGAGGATGCAAAAGGCTGACATTGGCAGAAAGACAACATATAGCGTAGCAGATCAACAGAAATTTAGAAAATGTAGCTGGATGAATACATTTCTCTTTATTTGTACTGGAATAAAATTGGTCCACCCTAGGTTGGAAATACCCAAGGAAACGTGCTTACAAACATTGCTATATACTCAGAAAATACAGCATTTCTATTAATAACTTGTATTGAGCCCAACATAAAAATAACTCCAGCAAGCAAATACATTAATATCTCGAGTTCAAAGATAATGCCTAAGGGTTTAGGAACTACTGTAGCAAGAACAACATTGGTAAAACACTGAAGATTTAACATTTGTTGTGATACAGAAATCACTTGAATAGGAGGAAAACCTTCAAACTAAATGAAACTTTTCCTGCGGGTGTACATTTTACAGCCTGCTATTTGTCAGATTGTCAATCTGATTGTTTTTAATGAAAAAGATGGGTTCCTGTCTGTAAAATCTGAGCTTAACAAATTATTGATAATGGTGTCACTGATGTATGAAGGTATTCTATGGGATAATACATCAAGCTAGTGGGTTCCAATTTAAAATTTCTCTCTTGCTACGAAAGACAGATTTGCAGGCATGGGGCTGAAAATGAAACGATTAAAACTTCAGGAATTAATGATGATGTCCTCCTTTCTCTCTCTTTTCCCCTGTGTTTTGTAGCGAAACTTTCTGGGCTTGACTACTTTTAAAGTAGGAGACTTGGTGAAGTCAAAGGAACAACAGTTGACCCTTACCCTGAGGTAGGTCTTTTTGTCTATTGTAAACCATTTCAAACTAATAACCCATGACATTTAATGATTGCTGCTTGGCTGTGTTTGAAACTCGGAATTACTTCAGGTATATTAGATGTCAACCTCAAGTGCCTCTGTTTCTACTATGCACAAAGCTAAAGAGAAATACCAATTATTTAAGTCAGAGCTTCCCATGTGTCAGGTTAGAAAAGGTTACTCGCTTTTTGATATGATCACCTACAGAAAAATTGCAGAGCAGTTAAATTGGGGAAAATCCTTTCAAAGATTCCTACAACAGGGAATATAAATCTTATTCTCACTTAATTAATACATTATATTTTTGTAGACTCCAAATGTTAATATCATGAAGTGACCAGGGTTTGAATATTTGGCATGTTTAAGTACACTGGGCCTGATTCACCACTGCCTTGCACCTTCTGTGATCACTTAATGTGTAAAGTAGGTATGAAATGCTACCAAATCAGAATTGCAATGCAGAACTCTGCACAAATGTATATGACTAAACAAGGTACAAGGCTGTGCAGAATCAGGCCCAGTGTTTTAGATGTGGCCCTATATTAACATGAAGAAAGGATAGAATGGATGGGTTTGTGTTTAAAACAATGGGCTGGGAATCAGGAGAGTTCAATTCCCAGCTCTGACACAGACTTGTATATATGATCTTGGGCAAATCATTCAGGGCATAATCTATATCCTTTTGAAGCCAATAGTAAAACTCCTATTTACTTTAAAGGCTTTGGATCAGGCCCTTAGGACTTGATTTTCAGAGGTGTTGAACACCCACAGCTACCATTGACTTCATCTAGAGTTTAAGGTGCTCAACATTTGTACATATCAGACTTTTGTTATATTAGATCCTCTGATCCCTTCCTCCTCCTGTTTCCCTTGAAGATGCTGCATATAGATGCAGTAGAAGTCCACACAGAACTAGATTTGGTGGCACATGGGCTGCACACCCTGTCTTGGCACAGATAGCCCAAACTCAAATGCATTAATCAGAACAGCAGTGGTTTCAGTGCACCAAGGGCCTTCAGCACTCTTTTTGGAGAGGGCATAATTTTGTTTTTTATGTACCTGCACTCCTATTAAAAGTAACGGGAGTTGCATGTAGACATGCGGGCAGAGGGGAGGTACATATTACTTGGTTTAGAGACCATGCTGTATTGACAGAGTGCGTTGATTTTCATTCTCCATATAGCATAAAATCACAATATAACAAAATATTAGTTTATAGCATTAGCCTTAATGGGTTCCCAGAGGGTATTGGGTCTGAATTGAACCTTTGTAGGTTTGCTTTTTGTCAAGTTTTGTTTTTGTCTCATACATTTTTTGTACATCTAATAGTAAAAGACAGCAGTTTAAAACAATTCCAACTGAACTCCAGAAAATTAAATTGTAGACATTAGTGGATTGAAATTTAAAAGACATTTTAAAAAAAAATTATGAATGTTGATTTGTTTCTTGAGTATGGCTGTGGGCCAGATTCACAGAATTACTCTTCTCTCGTTACATCACCAGGCAGTGCAGAAAGAGACAATACTGCCCATGCCTCCTTAATGGCAGTAAAATCTGGCGGCTTGGCATTCCCCTTCCTGCAGCATCCCTGTTGTAGGGGAAGTGTCAGGGATGAGGGACAGGCCTGTTGAGGGCATTGCCAGGCAAACTGTGCTCCATCTATTCCTAGCTGATGCACAGTTGCTTGGGAGGAGCTTTGTAAGCCAGTGTAAGTTAGAGTAGCCTCAGGGCTGCTGTAACCTATGCTAGGTCTAGGACAGAGCAAGGCAGAGAACCAGGGAGCTGAAACTAGCTCTCTGTAGTACCAGGTAGATAGTAGTCTCATCATATAATCTGGCCCATACTTTCTTTTTACTGATATTTTAGCATTTTCTTGCTCAGGAAAAACACAAACTAAACCATATAACGATGGATTTGTTCCTCTGTAATTCTACAGGTGGGAGGTTTTTTGTTGGGGGTGCTGATGGTGAAGGACAGTAGGGTTGGGGGAGGGTCAGGACATGTCTCTGCTGCAAAGAAAAATCTGTGGTGCTGAGTCTGAGCCCAGCTCAACTGACTTGGGCTTGTGAGTAGGTCAGGCTGTGGAGCTAACACTAGCAGTGTAGATGTTTGGGCTTGGGCTGGAACCTGGGTTTTGAAACCCTACAAATGGGGAGGGTCTCAGGGCTTTTCTGAGACCCTCCCCCTCCTCAGAATTTCAGATCCCATGCTGCAGCCCAAGCCCAAACTTCTACACTGCTATTTTTAGCCTCACAGCCTGAGGCTGTGAGCCCAAGTCAGTTGACCCAGGCTCTTATACTGGCTGCTCCACGTCTTTTATTGCACTGTTGACATACCCTTTGGTTTCTGATAACATTCCATTGTTCACCAAAGGTGTACTCTTTCTCTGCCCTCCTTTTCTTCTTGGCAGTGACTAAGGATACAAGCCAAGGAACTTTGTTCTGAGACACAGATAGGGTTTTTAATCTGTCCTTTCATTTTGGGTTTTCATTTGTTTTCATTATATTGCAGCCCTTAATGTTTAAAAGACTGATATTTTCTAGACTGCCAACCAAATGAGTGTTTTAGGAGAATGTGTGTGTCTATATATAATGTGACAAAGTTCCTCCTCTATCTTGGTAGGTCCTGCGCTTATTGGCGGATTTTCTTGCCACAGCGATTCACCATGTGGGTTGGGGAACAGCCCAGAGACCTTCCCCTCTGGAAGAACCCACAGTCCAGGTCAATTGGGAGGTTTGGGGGGAACCCGGGCCCGCCCTCTACTCCGGGTTCCAGCCCAGGGCCCTGTGGACTGCAGCTGTCTATAGTGCCTCCTGTAACAGCTGCATGACAGCTACAACTCCCTGGGCTACTTCCCCATGGCCTCCTCCAAACACCTTCCTTATTCTCACCACAGGACCTTCCTCCTGGTGTCTGATAACGCTTGTGCTCCTCAGTCCTTCAGCAGCACACCCTCTCAGCTCCTTGCTCCCAGCTCCTCACGCTCTCGCACCACAAACTGAAGTGAGCTCCTTTTAAAACCCAGGTGCCCTGATTAGCCTGCCTTAATTGATTCTAGCAGCTTCTTCTTAATTGGCTCCAGGTGTCCTAATTAGCCTGCCTGCCTTAACTGGTTCTAGCAGGTTCCTGATTACTCTAGTGCAGCCCCTTCTCTGGTCACTCAGGGAACAGAAAACTACTCATCCAGTGACCAGTATATTTGCCCTCTACCAGACTCCTGTACCCCACTGGTCTGGGTCTGTCACGATAATTATCAAAACCTGTCTGAACAGGTCAATTTGAGGTATTGCTTTTGGTAAGGTGCAAAACCCGTGTCTTCTGAAGGAATGTAAGCTTTTAGAGATTTTGGAGCACAGTTTCGGTTCTGAAAATTCCAAAGGGCTAAATTACGGCTCATCTAAAAAATTGTTATTGGGTGGAGGATATGTGCCAAATAACAAGGATTGATGAATAAAATAATACATTTGCCAAATATAAAAAAAAAGTCATCTTCAGCAGTCTAGATATTTGTGAATATCAATTTGGCAATATATGTTCACTGTAGATGCAGATTCACCCACTCCTGTGCTGTTGTCAGCAAACCTGAGTTAGGAGCACTGATGGCTGCTTCAAGTAATTTAGACTGGTTTAGTTAATCAGTTTTAGATTGTAAGCTCTTCGAGGCAGAAACTCTCTCCTGCTCTGTATTTGTGCAGCATGTACCAGGCACATGCACAATATGGTTGGGGCCTTTAGGCTTAATGGTAATTCTAACACTAATAATAAATCCCTTCATCAGCCAGTCTGCAATGATGATGGCATTCCCCATTCTCTGGAAGATCCTTTCATTTCAAGTGTATTACTCTCATTATGAATATTGCCACAGGCTTGTGCTCTGTTACCCCTCCTGTTCAATGTGTATGGGATGTCACTAAGTGAGATAGGAAGATGTGCTGTCCTTTGTCACTTCTGTATTGGGTTATTGTAGTGTGATTTCCACTGAGCTACACAAGGGTAAAAGAGGACAAAAAATAATGGTGCTCTTCTAATCTCTTCCCACAAAATTAAGCTCTATCCATCTGTGATGCTGCTCTCAGTAGATTGTATAGATATTCTACACAGGATCATACATGCTGTCTGAGCTCCACTGAACTCCTCAGGTTTGGCTTCCCCTCTGTGGGGCATGGGTGGCACCCTTGAGCTTGGTTTCTTCTTGACTGGAGAAGAGAATAAGAGGTGGTACTCTTCCAGGCCTACTTAATTGTGGTGACAAAACAGGATGTCAGTCAGAGTAGATTGTGCAGAATTTCATAGTGTGATCCTTCCCCTCCTTTCTGACATGGGCAATAAAATATTTAACAAGTTTCACACTTATAGTAGCATCTGAGTTAGTGTCCCATAGTGACATGTGGGGCAGTTCTTGGCTCTCGGAGCTAATGTTTCAGGCTGTCTGGAAGTTCAGGCAGACATCACCGCATCAGTTCACCTTCAAAACCAGAAGTGAGTGTTCCTTTGCAAATGTAACAGCTAGAAATGTACTTTAAAAAAAAATTGATGTTCTAGAAAACAAGAAGGCAGGCTGGGAGAGGTGCTGGTATGCCATACCACTGTATACTGCTCTAATTTGAGTCCTGAAGGTACCTCTGAGGACCACTCCCACATCAGAACTCTGTGACAAGTGGAACTAACCTTACAAAAACAAGGGAGTTCATGAAGATTCAGGATAGACACACTAGTCTTTATAGATTTACCTTTTTCTGAAGAAAATATATGTGAAAGGGTCTCCCTGTGGTCTGTACTGTACTGTACTACTTTATGAACATAAGGTTGTACTCAAATTTTAACATTTCATTTTGTCCTGTACTTGTTTCTCAATGCTCCAAGCACTTCAATACAGTCTGAACTTTTATTCAAGGATAGAGGGTAGGTATATTTGTCACATAGATTTTTAGTAATACAGTGATCTTTCCTCTTTATTATGTTGCCTCTTTTGA